GTATGTCCACTTCCAAGTTCTATGATTCTAGGGGGATAAAACGAAATAAATAAGCCGTGCGTTAAGAAAAGGGATAAAATTGGTAATAACACCAAGTTTAAGCCGCCAATATCGTCGATTACGCAGTATCTCTATGAACAGATATCTATTAAATGGACGAAATAGATACCTGATAGATATTTCAATCTCTATGGATAGATTCCTTAGATGATAACTAGATATAAACTGTAACATTAGTATATATATCAGGGCTTTGAATGGTGGCGATCTGTAATTACTGATAAAAATTCGCATAGGCGTTTGATATAAGTCTGTGATTAGAATGAACACAGAAACTGCATTGGGAAAATAACGACAAGCCGATTTACTACAGTCTCCATCGCGCTACCTACCCTACAATGTATGACCCTCGTTTATATAGGCGGTCTTAATAGTTTATAAGCTGGACTTTACTGATTCAGTGAATTCGAACAAAGAAACTCACAGGCTGCAAGTTTTTTACTAATGCCTTCACTAATTATAAGTCCATTCTGCAAAGTATATATGGAGGTTGGCACCCAAATTTCGCATTAACGCGTATACAGTAGAAACTCGAATTCAGTGTATTAGTAAATAAGACGATCCTCCATGCAACGGGCGATGTAGTGGATGCGCTAGAGAGCACGCGAGCCGGATCAAGCCATATCAGGCGTAATGAGGAAGTGGGTCAATGAAAATTATATTCCTTGCCCGACATACAAGGAACTTCTGGAGCGATCGCCAAACAACTGACCTGGTTTTTCAGCTGCATCCCCCAAGCCCGCGTCCTCCCTTCGCATAGCAATTTTCCAAGTAACAGGAACCTAGAGAACTTAAAAACAACGAAATTTACCGCAACAATGCGAAAACTGTCATTGTGTGTGTATTGGTCACATGGGTCAAGGACTTGGGACACATATTAACGAACACCCTCTGGCTATTCACCACCCGGACCCCCTATTTTTGTGTTATAGCACGCCTTTGTTTGCTATAATTTTGTAAATTGGGACGGCACTGAAGTGGTCGCCGTGGCTAGCACTAAACAATCACAGGAATTCCTCGACGTCTGGCACTCCAATACAGACAGGATGAACCGCCACGTTGAACTTGATGTCCACTAAGAGCGACTCATGTCACGGTGGATTGAATGGCGTCCACCTCCACAATAACAGCTCAAAATGCTTGCCCAGACATGCAGAAGTTGCCTTCTTTACCCATGACACAGTGAGTCACACATGAGACACCTGGCCTCACTATCAGCAGTCACAACGACAATATATTGTTCAGTACCCGCCGCCTCAACTTTAAGCTACTTTGCACAGGCTACTTTGCAGCTGTATGACCTAAATTCCCTTGACTGATTTTAACTCGGCCACGCATGTGTGTTCAAAAGAGTTGCGGCCCCCAAAAGATTTTTTGAACACGCCACCCCTCGGTCAGCACAGAATGGGTTTCTATACGGGACGCCCCCTCGGGTAATGCAACTCATTAATCGGACATCACATGGACTGGCTCCAAATTCACATGCAAGCAACGGCCACCCTCCCTCACACATGATCTCCTAGGTCTGGCTTCTTCCTGCACACGTATAGCATTACTGAACGAGCTCTGTTACTTCGTCTAGGATCAGGCAGTATTTGGCCAACTTCTTTGTTATTACTATGTGTATTCACTGCTGATGCTTGTGTATTGTTTATTCTTCACTATCTGTTTTATATCACCGTAATTTACCAATTGTTCTTAGCATAGGGAATTGGCGCACGAATGACTACTTGATACTTAGTCAAGGGCTACACGTTATGCGAACACAAGCCAACTTTTTTTTATCCATATCCACATAACTTAGGCATAAAATATAATCGTACCCAAAATACTATCATTTTTGAGTAAAAAAAAACTAATTTTAGTGGCGAAATATACGAAAAGGCTAGTTACATTAACTTCTAGGTCCACTACAGCATTCAAGAAAGTTGAGGATCCCGAATATGCCAAAAGTATTTGGGGCTCGGGATTGCCCCCTCCAAAGCTGTATCCAGTCCGGCGCCAGGAGCTGGCAGAGCTCGGAGGTTGGTCTTTGTAGCAAATTCAAAAAATTCCCGAACGCCAGTCTACAATGCAATCTTTCCACAGTGTGGAACGACTGTAGGAGATTCCTGCGAATTTGTCTATTATTCAAAGGGAATGGATTAAGGTTTTTAAGTGGGTTGTATATGGGAAAGAGCTTTGAGTCTTTAAAATTTTCGTTGCTCTTCTTTGAACTCTATCAAGACTATTCTGATCTTGAACTCTTCAGTGTCTCCAAGTTTGTATAACATACTCTGAATGTGGCCCCATTGATGTATTGAAAATCTTGCGGAAGAGATCTTCATCAAAATCGAAAAAGGCTCTCCCGATGGCGTGCACCACGGACATTGCACTCTTCGCTACTCTCGAACAATCGGAGGACGGTTTAAATGAATTTCTCGTCAGCACACCGAGGTACTTTTGGGTTTCTACGTCTTACGGGGCTGCACCGCTGAGAGAGTAGAATTTTTGTTGGATCTAGCTGATTCCCTGAAACGGGCCGCGTGATAGATGCGCTGGACCAACATGCGATCCAGATCAGGGTACGGCAAGCGTTTTTTGGGGTTGCGCTTCCATAACAAATGCTGAATATGGGGGCGTGGTTGCACACATAGAGGGCGACTGCAGCCTGGCCAGCTACAAGCGCCTGATCCCGTCACCGCTCTGCTTGGCTCTGCCCTGACACAGGACACATGTGTGTAAAGGAAGTGAGTATGCTAAATGCAGCGCAAGACAACAATCACTTAAAACTAATCCACGCGCATTTCACTGCCATTACTTTTAGTTTGCTGGAGCACGGGGTGGACAACGTCAAAACTGACGATCGAACTGTCGGATTTGGCCGAAATTTCTGGGCGGTGTATTGTACACTTATTGACGTTGAACTGCAGAAGCCAACGGTTTGGCCATCCTTCCAAGATAGTGAAGTTGAGCTGCAGTCCGTCCTTGTCGGCAAGCCCCCAGATCACACTCCAGATTTTCATTTCATAGGTAAAAATAGCCGTGTTACAGTCCAAATTTCTAAAAAAATCGCTCCCATAGATAAGGAAATGTGTTGGTCTCAGAAATGAACCCCGGGGAACTCCACCCTCGACCGCAGCAGTCAAGTGACTTTCGGTGATACTAATTTAAGCATTCAAGAAGTCAAGATAGGCGAACGAACGTTTTCGATTAATTCATCATCAGTCGTCGCAAACTCACAAACCCGGTCTTGTGTGCGCAGAAAGCCTTTGTAGTGGCCCTAAG